ATGGGGAGTTTTTAGAAATTCTTCAGATTGGCCAAACCACACAGATGATAGACTAAAAAGAACATTTCTCATTTTAAAAATCCATTATTTATTTCTTGTGTCTACTAGAGGTGCATGGTGTTTTCCCACTAAGATTTCTGCACACCACAGTACAGACCTTGCCTAACTGGTTACAAAAGATGTCAGAGCTGAAGCTGTGGCTTGAAAAACTTTGAACCTTGAATGGGATGAGTGCAGACAACTCAGTATTCCCATCCGGCTGGCTCCTCTTTGTCTCTTTCCATCTGTGACTGTCAACCCATGCTGAAAAGGAAGAGACCATGGTAGGGTTCACAGGCAGGGCCCTTCAGAGCCTCTTTAAAGAGTACCGGCATTTCTGACATACAGAAGGACTTGCCACACCCACAGGACATTTGTGTTTCATCTTGTGACCTACGTGGGAGACGTAGGTAAGGTTTCACCCAGCACATTTTATTCACTGATTCAGTCAACTAGTATATATTGAACACTTGCTATGCGCCAAGGAGAAGGGGAATTAGAAGAGAGAGTCATAATTTTTTATATATTTGTCAGGAAAGCCCTTCAAGATGAAGTATTTTTTAGTAAGAAATGTGAAGGAGAGAACAAAACTTATTCCTGTTGAGATGAGTGTTTTGGTCAAAGGAAATGCAAATTCCAAGGTTCCAACTGCTTTGTAAGGCCTGGGGCAGCAAGGCCTGGGGCAGGGAAGAGCTCCAACAGAGTCATTGTACAGCAGGAAGTTCCTGAAGTGTCTCCCAGGAAAGTGTGAAGACTGGCTTCCTGTTGTAAATGACATGGGATTAAAGGAGGGGTGACCAGAGCCGCCCAGTATATCAGCAGGATCAGTGCAGCTTCCCTGTGAAGAAGGTACCACAGAGGCAAAGGGCACCAAAGGAAGACTGGTAAAGAAGCTGCGGTGATATTGGGAAGGATTAGAGGAAGGATGGAGAAGAGAGAAAAGAACAGGAGAGAAAAGAAAGGGATGCTAGCTTTACCCGTCTTTATACTTTCCTTGGATCTCTCTCTAGTCCCTTGGCACTGGGTAGCCTGTGCGCAGGCACTGTGGGATGGGGTGGATGCATTGCGTTGATGTAGAAGAACAGAAGCTTTCGTCAGAGAGGGGGTACACACTGATCCTGCCACTCACTGTTTTAACTCACTTTTTTATTTAGCAAGCACGGAGTATTAGTTACTTTTCTGTTGCTGTGATCAAATACCGTGACCAAAAGCAATTTATGGAAGACACGGTTTTATTTAGTTTGAAGTTCCACAGGGATAAAAGAAATAGAGTCCATCAACGATGGGAAATGGAGTGGGACTATAAACCCTCAAAACTCACCCCAAGTGACCCAAGAGGTGCACTTCCTCCAGCAAATCTCTGCCTCCTAACAGCACCACCAACTGGGGACCAAGCTTTTAAATACGTGGAGGACAGTTCTTTTTCGATCTACTACACAGTGCCTGCCTCACAAGACCTGCTCTAAACGTTGTGTAGTAGTTACTCATTGTGTTATCTTGAACTAGAATGTTTCAAACCTGATGGGTCCTCCTCAGAAGCAGGACTAGCCCTCTCAGGGTAATTACGAAGAGCAAAAGTGATAATATGTTCAGAGTACTGGGGGCATGGTACTGAGGGATGGTGGTTGCTCAAAAAAAAATGGAGCAATTATCAGTCTTGTCACTGCTCTTATTATTTTTTAAATTCCTTTTGTTAAAATTTTTATTCTTTTCTCATGCATTACACCAGGTTTCTCTCCCACCACTCCTCCTAGTCCCTTCTGCCACCTCCCCTCTTTTCAAGATCCACTCCTTCTCTCATTTCCCTTCAGAAAAAAAAGAGCAGTTCTCCCAGGGATATCTACCACACATGGCCTAACAAGACAGAAGACTTCGCACAAACACTCATATCAAGGCAGGATGAGGCAACCCAGTAGGAGGAAAAGGGTCCTAAGCATAGGCAAAAGAGTCAGACGTCCTCCCTCTTACTGTTGGGAGTCCTACAGGAACACCAAGCTACACAACCTTAAATTACATGCAGAGGACCTAGCTGAGACCCAGACAGGGTCCATGTTTGTCGCTTAAGTCTTTGTGAGCCCCTATGAGGCCTGCTTAGTTGCTTCTGTGGGCCATGCTCTTAAGGTGTTCTCAACTCCTCTGGATCCTACAGTCCTTTCCTCCCCATCTTCTGTGGGGCTTCCCAGGCTCTGTCTATTGTTTGGCTGTGAGTTTCTGCTGGATGACACCACTCTGGTGACAACCGAGCTTGGCACCCATCTATGAGTATAGCAGAATATCATTAGGAATCATTTCATTGACTTTTTCTGCCAGTCATGCTTGGTTCTATCCTGGGTGTCTGGCATATCCTGCCTCAGATCCTTGGCCATGCAGGCAGTTTCAGGCATGGGCTTCCTTCCCTGGTGTGGGCCTCAAGTTGGACCAGTCATTGATTGGCCATTCCCACAAGTTGTGCACCATTATTACCCTGGCACATCTTGCAGGCAGGACAGATTGTAGGTCAAAGATTTTGTGACTGGGTTGATGCCCCAGTTCCTCTGCTAGGAGCCTTGCCTGGTTACAGAAGATGACCAGTTAAGGTTCCATATCTCCTATCACCAGGAGACTTAACTAGAGTTACTCACATATATTTTAGGGAGTTTCCACTGTACTATTTTTCTTTATCTCTCCCAGTACACTTTCTGACTCTTCCACTCACACCTGATATCTCCTGCTCCAATTCCCACCCACCCCCAGTCCATGCACAAAACCTATTCTATTTCCCCGGGAGATCCATGTGTCTCCTCTTGAGCTCTCTTTGTTACTTAGCTTCTCTGGAGCTGTGGATTGTAGCATGATTATTCTTTACAGCTAATAACCACTTATAAGTGAGTACATACCATTTTTGTCTTTCGGGAGCTGTGTTACCTCACTCAGGATGATCTTTTCTAGTTCCATTCTTTTGCCTGCAACTTTCTGATGTCATTGTTTTTAACTCCTAAGTAATATTCCATTGTGTAAATGTACCACATTTTCTTTATCCATTCTTTGGTTGAAGGACACCTAGGTTGTTTCTGGGTTTGGGCTATTATAAATAAAGCCACAATGAACATAGCTGAGCAAGGGTCCTTTAGTAGTGTTTCTTTAACAAACATGGGTGCCCTTGAGTTTGGAGCATAGATGTTAAGAATCAAAAGAGCATCTTAGCATATCTTTCCTTTGACGAGTATGGAGTGTCCTTCCAGTCTCTTTTGATTATTTCTGGTTTGAAGTTTATTTTGTTAGCTATTAAAATGACTACACTGGCTTGTTTCTTAGGTCCATTTGCTTGGAAAATTTTTTTCAGCCCTTTACTCTGAGGTAATGTCTGTGTTTGATGTCACGGTATGCTCTTGTATGCAGCACAAGAATGGGTTCTGTTTTTTCATTCATTTTGGTTAGTCTGTGTCTTTACTGGGGAAATAACCCCACTGAAAGACATCAATAACAAATGATTGTTAATTCCTATTGTTTTGGTGGGGGCTGTGGTAGTAGTAGTAGTAGTAGTAGTAGTAGCAGCAGCAGCAGCAGCAGCAGATGTGTGTGTGTATGTGTGTTTCTCCCTTCTTTTGGTTTTGCTAGTGTGAGATTATTCACCGTGTTTTTTAAATTTAAATTAGAAACAAGTTTGTTTCACATATCAATCCCAGCTCCCTCTCCCTCCCCTCCTCCCCATCCCTCCCCACCAGGCTCCCCAGTCCCCAACCCAATCTCCACTCTGATCCCCAGGTAGAGTGAGACCCTCCATGGTGGATCTCCAATGTCTGTCATGTCATTCAGGGTAGGGTCTAGGCCCTTCTTCAAGAGTCCAGGCTGAGAAAGCATCCCTCATTGTGGGATGGACTCAAAGTCTGTTTGTATGCCAGGGATAAATACTACCCAAGGCCACATAGATTGCCTAGGCGTCCTCACTGACACCCACATTCAGGGGGTCTCAGTCAGTCCCATGCTTTCCACACAGCCATCAATCTGGGTTCTAAGATCTCCCCCTTGTTCAGGTCAACTGTTTCTGTGGGTTAAAACAGCTCAGTCTTAATTCCTTTGCCCATCAGTTCTCCCTTTCTGACACTGGATTCCAGGAGTTGAGTTCAGTGTTTGTCTGCTATCACCAGTCACTGGATGAAGGTTCTGTTTCCCAGACTCTCTGGCAATGGGATTGTATGCTGGCACTCCCCTGAGTCATGTCTATAATCCATAAATGAGTGAGTACATACCATGTATGTCTTTTTGTGAGTGGGTTACCTCACTCAGGATGGTTTCTTCTAGCGCCATCCATTTGCCTACAAATTTCAAGATTCCATTGTTTTTTTCTGCTGAATAGTACTCCATTACTCACTATGTTTTAATAGGTGTAACTAACCTTCTTGGGTTGGAGTTAGTATCTTTAGCAAGGAATATCTTGCTTTCTCCATCTATGGTGCTTGAAAGTTTTGCTGGATATAATAGGCTGGCACTGATGGTCTCTTAGAATCTGAAACACTGGCTTTTAGTGTCTCTATTGAGAAGTCAATTAGATCTGCCTTTATATGTTACTTGACCCTTTTTCCTTTCAGTTTTTAATAGTCTTGTTGCTGTTGTTCTGTGTGCTTAGTGTTTTGATTATTATTGGCAAGAGGACTTTCTTTTCTGGTCCAATCTACTTGTTGTTTTGTAAGCTTAATGTACCTTTATAAGCATGTCCTTCTTTAGGAAAATTTTCTTCTATGATTTTGTTAAAAATGTTTTCTGAGCCTTTAAGCTAGGATTGTTCTTCTGTTCCTATTATTCTTAGGATATTTTGTAGTGTAAGAGATTTTCTGGATGTTTTATGTCAAGAGATTTTAGATTTAACATTTTTTTGACTGATGCATCTATTTCTTCCATTGTGTCTTTTAACCCCGATATTCTCTCTTCTATCTCTTGTATTCTGTGGGTGATGCTTGCTTCTGTAGCTCTTGGTCACTTACCTTTATTTTCCAGCTCCAGGATAACCTCAGTTTTCTTTATTGATTCTCTTTCCATTTTCAGGTCTCGAAGCAGTTTTTACTCGTTTCTTTCACCTGTTGCTTTCTTTTCTTTTTCTTGGCTTTCTTTATGAGATTTACTCATTTCTTCCAATTTTTGTTTGTCTCTTCCTTGACTTCTTTAAGGGATTTATTCATTTCCTCTTTAAGGACCTCCATCATCAGGGCTGGACAAGAAAAGGTCTACAAAAATATGAAAGATGGAAGACTGAGGAGAAGCAGTTGGAAGAGGATGCCCCCAAGATATGGGTGAAGAAGCTGTTGAAAGTTCCCTCCTGCCAGAGATTGGGCTAAAACATTAAAGAGCAAACAGCAGTCAGATCTCTGATGTACAGAAGACAGTAAAGACTGGGATTAAACGTCCTGTGATGGTGTCTGGGAAGATGTGAGTGGAGAAAAGGACATATGAAAAGGGATGTGGGCGTGTGTGAGAGAGTAGAGTGGCGAGCCTGGGAGCAAGAGAAAAACATTGTTTAATCTTGACATTATGCCTTGAACTCCAAGTGAGGTTTCTGAAGGCAGATATGGAACAGTTTAGGGAAAGTTCTGATCAAATAAATACTTCTATTGATTTATTTATAAATTGGAAAGAGTTGAGTAAAATAATTTTGGGAGTAAGTCCCAGGAAAATTCACCCCATCCATTGAGGTATCTCTTTTCTAACCTTCCTGTCTTCAGTTCCACCTGCCTCAGCTCTGGGCAGGCTATGCAGTGTTAACCTGATGCTGCTCGTAGCATGGCACACCGGAACCCTATACCAAGACTGAAGGCCAGGGGTTGTTCTGCCATAGCTACTCACGGTCCATCTCCATGAGTCATTGGGGCTCCGACGGCTTTGTTTCAGGCTTATCGCTCTCCATTTCCTGCACTCTGTCTACAGCTATGCTGACCTTCTAGCACAGCTTCTGGGACTATAGCTCATACCTGGGATTAAAGACAGGCAGTAGAGACAGATTACTGAGAATATTCACAGCTAGCATTTGGGCAGGCAACCTACTTATCCAAGGGTCAACACAGATGATAGGACTGTCTCCCCATTTCACCCCATCACACCATACAATACCCTCTGCTCAGGCCCTGCAAATGCTGAGAATGTCTGTAATACCAAGAATGTTTGATATATTCCTCCCACGGTGACAAGAGCTGCCCCCTAGAGATTCATGTTTGCCGCTCCTAGAAATGCATGGATCTGGCATTTCATAATTAATTACTCCACTCAGTCACAGGTTACATTGTTGCACTTTTCTCAGTCTCTGTGTCAAGCTCTTCACCCATTTTGGTGGGAAAAAGTTTCAGTGTGTGAAAACCTACTACAAGGTTCCCAGAGACTAAAAACAGGTCCAGGACTTGGACAGTATTAGTGACAGATTTACTCAAAGAAGCATAGGCTTAGTTAGCAGCAAGGCCAGTAGCTTCTGCAATCTGTGGAATAAGAAAGGCTTTACAAACTGGTTTAGATAAAAGTGAGCTTTATCTATGCTGGAACATACCTGTGGTGATACATTATTTATGATTTAATGAAGATTTCCTGAATTATCAGAAAGCAAAGCCAGCCACACTAGTTAGATATAGAACCTAGGCAGTGGGGGCACACACTTTTAATCTCAGGACTCAGGAGACAGGCAGATGGATCTGAGTTCAAGGCCACCCTGGCCTAAACAAGAGTGAAGAGTAACAGAGCTCACCGAGCCTCTGATCCTAGCACTTGGGATGACACACCTTTAATCCAGCACTAGGGAGGTGGAGACAGGATGATAGTGGAGAAAAGAGCATAAGGAGGAGAAGACAGAATTCAGAGCTTTTGCCTCTGAGGATTAGTGAAGACAGGGTTGCTGTTTCAGCTTGGTAGAGGTAAGAGCTAATGGCAGGCTGCTTTGTTTTTCTTATCTTCATCTTGAAGTTTGAACCCAAATATCTGTCTTTGGGATTTTATTTTTCATACAACACGTACCTGCTTTATCTTAAATTAATATCAAGGGTATCAGAGATATTTCAGACATTGATGATAGCAGGCCTGGCTTGTAAGCCTTTGCATAACTCTGCGGATTTTATCTGTGCATGTCATGTCGAGAAATTTGTGAAGAGAACAGATCAGAGTAACTAGGAGAAGCCATGGCAGTTCAAGATGGCTGCCGACAGCCCAAGGTAAATCCAATGACCATTGTCGGCAACTTACATTTTGGAAAGCTGAGAGGCAGTGAGGAAAATTAACTTCCCCAATGTCACAAAGTCATGTGTAAGCAGTGTTTCTAAGCCAAGTTTGTCTACCTTCAGAGTCTGCCTTTTTGAATCCATCACACATGATGGGAAGGATGACATGCCTTTAATCTCCATGATAACAAAAGGAAAAAATGCTTACATCACGATCTCCAAACAGATTTTATGGACCAACCTAATTTGATTCTTATAGCATCTCTAAGATTTATAGGAGAGCTCTGAGGCTGAGAATGATGATCAGCCAACTCTGAGGCAGAATTTAATATTTGGGTCTTTGGTACCAAAAATCAGCATTAATGGGGAAAAGGGAAAGGAAACATGGCAGAGTCAGAAGTCAAAGTTCAATGCAGAGTTAACTTCAGCCTTCTCCAAGGCTAAGAACTTAGGCAGCATGCAGTTATTATTCCAGGTTAAAAATAACTTCAAGAGCTAAGGGATGCAGATCAGTCCATAAAGTGTTACTCTAGTATTCAGGAAACCCCGGGTTCAGTCTCCAACAAGAGGTTATCCAGGTGTGGTGGCCCTCTATTAGAGGTAAAGGCAGGAGGATTAGAAGTTCAAAATCATTTTCAGCTACATATTACGTTTGAGGCCAGCAGGTTTTGGCTGTGTCAAAACATGTCAAAACAGCAACCACAAAAAAACTCCATTCACAATTCAAAGTGTTCAAAATGGTGGCATGAAGTGCAAAGAGAATTTCTTCCATAACTTGTAAGAAAAATGGCTGAGCGTTTCTCACTGCTCACCGTGCAGCTGACTTCAAAAGCAAAAACAAGGAAGAGGGAAATTTCCAGTGACCAAAAATCTATAATAGATGTTTCTGAAAAGAAAGAAAACTCAGGAGTGAACATGGAGTGGCTCTGAAGTCCCGAGAGAGCTGGTGACGGAAGTGGGCTTGCTGGGCAGGTTTGGCTGCGGACTCTGTGAAACGGTTATGCAATTGTCTGGTAATTTCTAAAGAAACAATGCAATCCCACATGTGTGTAATTCCAAATGTAAATATATAGTGCTACAAAAAAAAGTTAAAATAAAAGCTAGGAAATGAATGTCCAAAGCATTCTATAATGGTAAGACCATGAAAAAAAAAACCATCATTTTCTTCTTTGTCCATTTCTGTGCCTTGCAAGTTAAACCACAGACAAAAGTCTCTAGCTTTTCACGCCACTGCCCTACAGGTCCATTTTCTGCTCTAAGTAAACACAAAAATATGAGCAAACCAGACTCCAAGCCCAAACTCCTGGCGATTTAAATATTAAAATCCAGGGTCATGGATGGGAGAGCCAGAGGAGAAAGGAGGCCTCTTCCTGGTTGTTCCTGGGAAGATGAGGAAGGATCACCCGTGTGACACCTCTGTCCCTTCCCCCACGATGCTCCCCACAAGAACACAAACATTTTATCTTGGAAAGCTAAAAGCCCACTGCCTCATGTTTTTGAGTCAAGTCATTGTCTTGATACCTTGTGGCAGGGCAGAGATGAATGGAAGCCAGCCTGATCTAATCTCGTCTAAATATTCAGAACCAGAGAAGGGAGTCCTCAGCAGCAGAATGCCAACCTACATCCTGGTTTAATTGCCTCCACTCCTGATAGATTGGCTCTTACCCCCTTTGAATTCCTTTGTTGAAGAGGAGTTAAAATTCATGAGCGTCCCATGCCTGGGAATACTTACTTCAGTGCTGCTATTTTTCAGAGCCAAGCTGGCCAACACTGCAAAGAGTCGGAGGTCTGTTGGACCATCTGTTACATCGTAGTCAACAATCTCGAAAATCTAGGGGACCTGGGATGGGGGAGCTAGGATGATGGGGCATTTAAACAGAACAGATTGCTGCCTTGCTTACAGAGGGAAAAAAGAAGAGATAATATGCTTTGATTGAAGCGAGGACAAGCTTTATTAGCATAAGGAACAAAACAAACTTTAAAAAATGCTGACAGTCTAAAGAGGCTTGGGGACAAACCCCATGCTGAACTGTAGGTCACAGGGGTCCCCAATGTGACGCGCACACAATGTATTAGCTCCACACACATGCGACACGTCGTGACAAATGTGAGATATGTTTGAAAAATTGCTGTGGGATTCAAACCTGAATGCAAGCCTGCACTTGAATTTTAAATCTTGGAGCACATGGAAATGGCACTTTTGCCTGAACTACCTTCCACAGAGTGAGAGGACTCTGGGTCTCCGTCGACTGCTGCAACAAAGCCTGGGCCACACAACTTCCCCTTGAGCCCCTGAATTCCATGAAGCAGCTGCCTGTAAACTTTTGTAATCTTAAGGAGGCACAAGCCAGTTTTTAGCAGTGACTTACAGCATTTAACTTAGGAAGAGAAAAGATATGGAAATTAGAAGGAACTGGAATAAAGAGAAAAAGAAATGAAACTAGAGGTAACATGGTTAAGAAAGAAATTAAAATTGGGGAAAAAACTGAAAAATCGGGATAGGAAGTCTGATAAATTCTGGGAAAGGCAGAGGGTCAGCACAGACTCCTCCCACCCCACCCACCGCCCCTGACCCCCCCCCAAAGGGAAATATTAAAGTGTGTCAAAACCCAGTCAATAGCAACATAGTGCACTGTGTAGCCGGAGTTCAGGGTAAGTCTGCTGCAAGAGGAACTGGATTTACAATGCATCGAAACACAAACGATAAAAGAAGAGACTTTAGAGGGGTCAAATATAGGAAATGTTTAGTCGCAGAGTATAAAACTGAGTATATGGGATCTACTCTAAACTCTTTCATCTTGTTTATATTTTGAAAATTTCCCCATATAATGTTAGGAAAAGATAGATACGCATTGTGACTCCAAAAGTTAATGTATAACAATACAGAAAACTTAAACATCTTAAAATATCTAGTTGTGCACAATGCTAATTGCCATTTCCTTCCATGTGGCATTCTTTCCAAATCTGAAGCTTAAGGCAGAAATGAAGGTAACGCCACAAGGAGTGTGTGTGCTGAGCTTCTGTATCTAGTTGGGCTGCTGCTATTGTTCTACTGACATCATTACTTTCGTGTTGCTTTTAATAAAGTAAAATCAAGACACGCCATAGTAGAGAATTTGACTGAAGTCAATTTTATCATTGCTTTCTTGCAAATGGGCTCTTCCTGGGATAAACAATTCAAATTCTCATTTCTTTCTCATAAATTTCAAGCTCTCTCCTGCATAGTCAATAACTTCAAGACAAAAGCAACAATTTGAAACCTCAGAGCTGAGAATGGTAATTTGGAATCCTTTCAGCAAATTCTATGCCAAGCAAGGTGGGGTCTCAGGATTATTACTTTGTTTGCATGCTTCCAGCGGTCTTAGTATCTAAATTATGTGATTATTTCCTATGGACTGACTGTAAACTTAAGGCTTTTGAGAGAGAGTCAAAGAGAAAGGGGGGATTTCATTTCTAAAAGCTCCATTTTGGTTAGAAAATGTTTTTTAAAATAATAAAGTTTACAAAGTCAAAAAACTAACAGTCCCATGTCGCCCATCACTTTGAAACAAACTGTCAAATAATAGTTTTTATTCAATAGTGGCAGAAACAAGAAAAGAAAAGACACAGGGGATGGAGATTGCTTTTGAAACAAATCTGAAACTTTCATGCATATTCATCTGTATGTTTCTCAGAAACAGGCTGGCCTCCATATTCAGGAAATTTTACAGTCACCTTAGCTGGTGCAGCAAACCATGCCTCTCAGAAATAGCTACATCCAAACTGTAAGTCCA